TTGTGTTGTTTATTCTATTGATTTATATGTTGTGTTTTGTGAACTGTTGTTTGTCTTTACGTTTTTTGCCATGGCGTTGTTAGTTTGACTTCTTTTTATGAGTTTGAATGTCCCTTTGGTATCTTCTGTCTCTCTTTTAAAAGGGGTCTTTGTAAAACAACTAGTTAACATGATTGAATAAAGGTGAATTAAAATTCGAAGTCGAGAAACCAAATGCCATACTGTTTTCCACCAAATCAAACTGAGTTTAAATTCACGTTATGAATACCAGATTAAATCAAATTAACGAAATCGTATGAAAACTTTAATAACGATGGGAAATGGTCACATAATTATGCATTTATGCACTAATAGCAAATATTCAAATCAGACATACATTAATAATCTCATGCCTAAACTATTCGCTAAACAGTATTATATGGCTAATTATGTTAGGTTTAAAATAATTAAGCTGTCCTTTATCGTTTTGGTGAACTAAATTATTGATTACTGTGTTCTGCAGATAAATGCATACTTATATAGAACTTTGACGTAGATTTGCCGGCAATATGCTATTCTAATAGGTCTGTACCAATCGCCAATTGTATGTTAGTTCCCGAGTGTATATTCAGTTCAAAGGTATATCTTTTTTGTCATGCAGCACTGCGATGTAAGCGTATAAAAGTCAGCATTACATGATGCAAAAAAAGCTATGACAAAAACTTACAAAAAATTGACTATAAAGGGCAATAACTCCTTAAGGGGTCAATTGACAATTTCTGTCATGTCGACTTATTTGTAGATCTTACTTTGCATAACATTATTGCTGCTTACAGTTTATCTCTATCTATAATAATATTCAAGATAATAACCAAAAACTGCAAAATTTCCTTTAAATTACTAATTCAGGGGCAGCAACCCAACAACGGGTTGTCTGATTCGTCTGAAAAGTTCAGGGCAGATAGATGTAAACCTGATGAAATTTTTTCCCTATGTCAAATTTACTCTAAATGCTTTAGTTTCAGAGATATTATAAGCCAAAAACTGCGTTTACCCCCTATGTTCTATTTTTAGCCATGGTGGCCATGTTGGTTGGCAGGCGGGGTCGTCGGACACATTTTTAAAACTAGATACCCCAATGATGAATGTGGCCAAGTTTGGTTAAATTTGGCTCAGATGTTTCAGAGGAGAAGATTTTTGTAAAAATTAACGGACGACGGACGCCAAGCGATGAGAAAAGCTCACTTGGACTTTCAGGCCAGGTGAGCTAAAAAAAAACAGTTATTGAGACAAGTTTAATCTATATTTTGCCTTTTTGGGTCTTTATCCAAAAAGCTATAATAGAAATTTATAAATCTTAAATTAAGTGAAATGCGACTAATCGCTAATATTTTGAAACAGTTCTTGAAAATTCTGGCAGGCGGACAATGGCCATTATGTCAAAATCTACCTTATGTAATGTAAAATTGTCAGACGACACCTTGTAGGATTTTTTTGCCCTTCAGCGATAACATTTTTGCTTTGGGATTTTAATTTGAAAGCTATAACAGACATAGAAATAAAACTGATGAAGGGGGGTTCACATTGTCAAAATAGCCAAATATCGTTTTGGATCCAACTTTGTCAGTGGACTCCTTATAGAATTTTTGCTCTAATATGATAATATGCTTTTAGCTTTTATTTAAAACATGAGTGCACACGCTGAAATGTCTCGCCTTCTTTACTAATCATTGGTATTATGTTGATAGTCCTAAATATAAAGCTTTATTACAACTGTCACATAAACTTAACATTAACCAAGTAAACTAAACATTGACCAATGAACCATGAAAATGAGGTCAGATGAACCATGCTAGGCAGGCATGTACAGCTAACAATTCTTCCATACAATAAATTTAGTTGACCTATTGCTTTTAGTTTAAGAAAAACAGACCAAAACACAAAAACTTAATACTGAGTAATGAACCTTTAAAATGAGGTCAAGGTCAAATAAAACCTGCGTGACTGACATATAGATCATAAAATATTTCCATACACCAACTATAGTTGAACTATTGCATATAGTATTAGAAAAAAAGACCAAAACTCAAAAACTTAACTTTGACCACTGAACCATGAAAATGAGGTCAAGGTCAGATGACACCTGCCAGCTAGACATGTACACCTTACAATCATTCCATACACCAAATATACTAGACCTATTGCTTATAGTATCTGAGATATGGACTTGACCACCAAAACTTAACCTTGTTCACTGATCCATGAAATGAGGTCGAGGTCAAGTGAAAACTGTCTGACGGGCATGAGGACCTTGCAAGGTACGCACATACCAAATATAGTTATCCTATTACTTATAATAAGAAAGAATTTAACATTACAAAAAATCTTAACTTTTTTTTCAAGTAGTCACTGAACCATGAAAATGAGGTCAGGACATTGGACATGTGACTGACGGAAACTTCGTAACATGAGGCATCCATATACAAAGTATGAAGCATCCTGATCTTCCACCTTCTAAAATATAAAGCTTTAAAGGAGTTGCTAACGGCGCCGCTGCCGGATCACTAATCCTATGTCGAGCTTTCTGCGACAAAAGTCGCAGGCTCGACAAAAACTACAACAGATCGTGAGAAAATCTGGTAGGGGAAAATGTTAAGATTGTCAAAATCTACCCGATGTAGATGTAGCATAAAACGTTACCCTATTATAACAAACTTATTCAAATATTTATTAACATTTGTCACAAATGACAATGAGTATGTTCTTTTTGTCATAACAACATTGCCAGCCTCTTTTCCTCGATTGTTACATCAAGGTTATTTGTCTTCTTGTCATGAACATGACTGATACCACTAGTTGTACAGGAGCAGCGATCGCATACTGAGCACTTGATTTCACCCGCCCCTTTTCTTGTCGGGATATGTATTAACATTTTTATGTTGTTTGTCTGTCTGTCTTTCTTTCTTTTTCTTGTTTTTTGTTTGGTCAAGCACAGCCATCGTGTTGTCTGTTATATGTTTGACCTATTGATTTGTATTGCTCCTGTTGTTATTTTCTCACACTTTTTGTATAATAGCTGATACGTGTTTGTTCTCACATAAATATATAGTGTTATTTTACATGGCTTTTATTATGTAGTAAACTTATAACATAGATTATCTATGATTTCAAGTAGCCTCATCCCAAAATTGGATTGATAAACCTTTTGAAATATGGTTATTAGAGTGAAATACAAACCCAGTTAAACTAAAATTCTCCGCTGGGGAGCAGCTTGATACGACCGCAGAGGTCGAATCCTGAACAGTTGGGGCAAGTATGGACACAACATTCAAGCTTGATACAGCACTGAATTTGGATTGTAATTAAATATTTGACACAGCATAGGTTTCTGACACGGAATGAATGTGGTCTAAGAACTTAAATATTTTTAATTTACCTATTCAAACCATATCATCATTATTTGCTTTTATATATAAATCAGAAATAACCAATTTAAAATGGAAACTTTTACAGAAAAAAAATGAAAAAAAATCCCCCCCCCAAATTTTTTGAACCCCCTTATGATTCATCACCCCCAAACTCAATCCCAGCCTTCTCTTTGTGGTATGGTACCTTGCAGTACAATTTCGGAGAGATCCATACACTTACACACAAGTTATTGTCCTGAAACTAGAAAAATGCTTGTTTTTTTGCCCCTTTTTGGCCCCAAATTCCTAAACGTTTACGGCAATTACCCCCAAACTCAAACCCAGCTTTCCCTTTGTGATATGGAACCTTGCAGTACAATTTCATAAAGATCCATACACTTACACACAAGTTATTGTCCTGAAACTAGAAAAATGCTTGTTTTTTTGCTCTTTTATGGCCCCTAATTCCTAAAATTTTGAGGCAATTACCCCCACAATTAATCCCAGCCTTCCCTTTGTGGTATGGTACCTTGCAGTACAATTTCAGAGAGATCCATACACTTGAACACAAGTTATTGTCTGGAAACCAGAAGAATGCTTATTTTTGGCCCCTTTTTCCTAAACGTTTTGGGCAATTACCCCCAAACTCAATTCCAGGTTTCCCTTTGTGATATGGAACCTTGTAGTACAATTTCATATAAAGATCCATACACTTACACACAAGTTATTGTCATGAAACTAGAAAAATGCTTGTTTTTTGCCCCTTTTTGGCCCCTTATTCCTAAAATTTGGAGGCAATTACCCCCAAAATCAATCCCAGCATTCCCTTTGTGATATGGAACCTTGTGGTACAATGTCAGAGAGATCCATACACTAACACACAAGTTATGTCTGGAATTTACAAAAATGCTTATTTTTGGCCCCTAATTCTTTAACTGTTGGTACCATAACCCCCAAAATCAATCCCCACCTTCCTTTTGTGGTATTGAACCTTATGGTAAAATTTCATAGAGATCCATTCACTTAAACTAAAGTTAGAGTGTGAAAACCAATGTGTCTTCGGACGACAACGACGCCAACGTCATACCAATATACGACCGCAAAATTTTTTGGCGGTCGTATAAAAACAAGATGTCATGAAGAAGTATCTTAGAAATGAAATTGAATGATAAACTCGACAGAAGCCTAAATATAGATCAGAGTTACTTATATTCACCAAACTGTAACATTATCTAATATAAATCCTTAGAACACGTCACATGATTTAAAGTCACTGAAAATTAACTCAAAAGTACTGCTTAATATTAAGTCAATAAAGCGTAAAATGTAGACAAGAGTGACCTACGTTTAATGGTAGGCTGCAAAATACTCCCATAGATACAACCCCAGTTCTATGATCGTATGTGACTTTTGAGAACTGAATGTGATGTATATAAAAGGCCATAGAAAATATCATATGGCTGCCAGTCTTTTCAAGAATCTGCAAACCAAATAACATTGCTGTATGATCATTTGTATCTGAGATATGATTGTGGGCATGCATATGAACCCTATGAATTAGGTCTCAAATAGTCCCCTCAAACTTTATTGAGAGGAACTAATAACAACAACAAATGAAAACAATTATATTTAATAAGATTATCAAGTAGAAAATACTCAATATAAAAAATATACATAAATTTTATCAAAAAACATTAATGAAATCACAATCATTAACAATTACAATATGGCACAGACATGCTTAAGATGAGATTCAACTTTAAATGTTTCATGCATCCTACCTACATATGATAATTTTAAGTAAAATGCATTCATGGTGAATAAATATTTTGCATATATCATTCTTGATTAACACTCTGCATTTCATAAAAAGTCATTGAAGTTTATAATAAGTCTTCCTTTTTGCTTTATTCTTACTACATGTACTATCTGGGTAGTATAGATTATCAGGTTTTCTTCCCATTGATATAGACAAATATCAGCTGTGAGCCACAATGTGAACCTTTTTGGCGAGCAAGTGTAGCGAACAATAAAAAAACTTTACATAGTGTTGAGCTGCTGTTATTTTACGATATACATACGTAGAAAACCTGATAATCTGTTCATGGTTCTATTATCCTTTCCATTAGACAGCTTTATGCTTAACAAAAGTAAGTTTGATAACGTCTCCTTACAATGTGTGACGTCACTTCTACTTAGACATTCTGTCATCTCTGACAATGTCTGTTCAGGTCTCAAAGCGGTGATAAGAGAATTACTGAGTGACTGAGGAGGGTGATATATAAAGGCTAAGGAAGGACTGTAATGTCTAATAAAAGATATCATATCTTACCATTTTGTATCTAATATCATAACAATTTAAAGCTCATTGTGAACTAACTAGTACTATTATATGAACAGAAAATATATGAATTCAATTTTTTACTACAAAAACCTTCATTTATCAAAATCTTTCTTTGTTCATTTTTTTTCTCAGTCTTTAAAATATTTTACAACCTTTATCATGAGTATTGTAAAAAAATCAATGGTAATGATATGTCATGGAAAAGCGACCCACTTATTCTTTCCAATGATTAGTTATAGGTCAATAATTTATCAAATATATTTAATAAGATTATCAAATACAAAATACTCAATATAAAAATATATATAAATTTGAGCAAAACCATAATTTTTTGTATCAAAAAATCTTAACAAAATCACTTTTAATAAACAATTATCATATCCCAAGGAAATGTGTTGAACAAACATTTTGCATATATCATTTTTGATTTAACTTTCTGCATCCCATAAAAAGACGTTTAAAAAGTTTACAATATGTCTTCCTGTTTTGCTTTATTCTTACTCCTGGTTAATGTCTACTAAAAGACATCTTATCTTTTCATATATTATAATATGTAATGTGTCGTACATTTACGTTCAAATCTCATTGTGAACTGACTAGTATCATAATATATTATGACTTGACCAGGAAATACATCAATTTGATTTCTGACTACATAAACTTTTTTTCATAACAATCACTCTTGGTTTATTTTTCTTCTCAGTACTAAAAAGCTGTAAAATGTTTTAACAACCTTGATCACGAGTTATGAAATAAAAACTTGACGGGAATTGTAAGTCATGGCAAATTTACTCTCTTATTTTTCTTCAGTGATTATTTATAGGTCAATAATTCATCAATGACACAATTGTGGTGATGTAATAATTCAAAAATATTTAAGGTGGGACATTTTAATATGAAAGCAGAGATTTTAATAATGCCCCATGTCTGATATTGTGAAATCTCCACTTGCGCAGTGTGGAAACTATTTGTGATTTTTTTACAATATCCTTCAAAGTACAATTTTTGTATATGTTCAGGGGGTGTCTTAACATATATGTATACAAAATTAAAACTTCTGTTTGATTGCATATACATGTACAGAATTACAACTTCTGTTTGATTGCATATACAGAATTAAAACTTCTGTTTGATTGCATATACAGAATTATCACTTTTGTTTGATTGCATATAAATAGTTAAAACTTATGTTCTATTGCATATAAATAGTAAAAACTTCTGTTCAATTGCATATGATTAGTTAAAACTTATGTTGGATTGCATATAAATATAGATTCTACCAATGCATCAAGTGTGATACGATATTTATCCACTAGACTGAAGAACTGAGATCAAACGAACCACATGTTGATAAAATAAAAATAATCAACAGGTACAGAAAAGGATGAATCAGCTTAGAATTAGAGAAATAGTAAAAACTACTTTTTGAGTTACATCCCTTAGATATTCAGATATTTTCTAATTGTATAAGTAAACAGTCTTCTTTTTTTTGAATTGCTCTTGACTACATTGCTCTACTGGAGTGTTTAATTGTCTGTCATTAATAGATGTCTTTACCATTCATAAAAGTATAATTTCATGGACAATGAAAATCTCATTTGTCTGATATCTTCAAAACACTGCTCATTTACAAGCCTCCAAGAAGTTATTTTTGGAGGCCTTGTGCAGTTACTTATCATCTATGTGCAATAGACTTATTTGTTTGTTATTTTTGGAGGCCTTGTGCAGTTACTTATCATCTATGTGCAATAGACTTATTTGTTTGTTATTTTTGGAGGCCTTGTGCAGTTACTTATCATCTATGTGCAATAGACTTATTTGTTTAGTTCTTGAGATATAAGGCTGAATTCTATTTAAATAAAAAATCAATTAGCAAACAAGAAAAATATTGAAAGCCATATTTCAACCTCTCAAAACTTAAGAATTTTAGGGTTTGTAAAAAAAATTACTTGCTGGAGAAGATTAAGGGGAGATTATTCAAACCTTGAAAATAAGATAAAAATCTTACATATTTACTTTATAAACAAGTAAATATAACTTTAAACATCTTCAAGTAAATAAAAATTGACCTGTATAAGTATTACCCGTGACTGTAAATAGTGAACACTTCCTGTTTAAAGAAGAAAAAAAATCCAATATTGCAATCTTAATTAGTCCTTCTAAGAGATGCATGCTGCAGCATATAAAGAATAATTTTTTATGCTGAAGGCAACAGGGGCATTATGTGTTACCCTTGACCATATGTCTTTCCATCCTTCTGTCATTCCCTCCATCCATTTTTTTGTTGCAAAGCTTGAGCAGGGGCATTCTTACATCACACACATTCTTCTTTTATTTTTGTAAACAAGGCAATCTTGGGTTTTAATGACAAAAATACTGTACGATAAAAATGAATTATATCAAAAACTTCGTCTAAGAAATTCTCAATAACATTATGAGACAAACAGTTTCTCGAGGGTATCCTCTTCCATTATTTAAACAATCTCCAGCATAACTATACCACTGATTAAGTTGAAACATAGAAAAACAATTCATCAATATGCCATACTGATTGTCATATATAACTGTCATGTCTAATTCTTGAATGTACATAAGACTATAATAATGTCCATGATTATTTTCAGGATGTCCTTCATTATAAATAGTCATTGCAGAAATGATATATTGTTCTTGTTGTATCCTAATTGTTCTTCCTAATAAATCTCGAGCATTTTCAGTTGATATCCACATATCTCCAACATCAAGGAAGAAGAAAGGTGGAGGTTGCTGAATCATAGTTCTTATAACTCCAGGGCATGAATCTCTGTAATCAAAAGCAAAGGTCATAAATATTTACATTCAAATAAATCAGAATAAGTTCTCGAAACAGGTTAAATTCAATTGTATTTTTTATTGTAAATCAAACTTTTTAAGTCATGAATATATATTATGAATAAACTGCTTCGCCGAGCACAGCTGGATACGACCGCAGAGGTCCAACCATGAACGGTTGGGGCAAAATGGACACAATATTCAAGCTTGATACAGGTCTGAATTTGAATTGTAATTAAATATTTGACACATTATAGGTTTCTGACACAGAATAAATGTAGTCAAAGAACTTGAAATTGGTTGTATGATTTGAATTTATATTCAATTGATGATTTCTTGCTGTTGTGCAATACACTGTGCTGTGCGCAATACTTAGTAAATCTGTTTTCAGACTATTTACAAAGAACTAGCAAAATAATTGTGACCCCCAATTTTTCTTTGGAAAATTGACAATTTCTTAAATCTTGAGGGAAAAAAAAATTGACAACCCCCAAAGTTGAATGATATTTGAGGAAATTTTCTTTTTAATTTCTTAAATCTTGAGGAAAAAAAAAACCCCTCCCCCCCTCCAAAAAGAATTTTTTTTTACACCAAAAATTCAAAAAAAATTACATTTGGCAGTCAGGGATATAACTCTATAGGGTTATTACAGAAAAATAACATACATTTGTTATTGTGGACTAAAAATTCAAAGAACTGTGATAACATATGTATGTTACATGTTTCAAAGGGACAATATACATCACTAGTTTAGTTAAAATGCATACAAGTTCTATTGATATTACTATTGTCTTTATGTATACTTAACTATAGAAAGATATAACAGTTCATAGTTTGCCAATTTTGCATAGTACACCTATATGTTATTACAGAAAAAATATGCCTGTAATAACTAAAGGGTGTTATCACAGATTCTCTATATCACTCCAAAGCATTTTCTCAGACATACATCATGCTTAATTACAATGTATTTTAATTTATTGTAAGAAATAATGACCAGAGCATGTAATGAGGTTCTGAGCAAGCTTCCCAGTAATTCCCAAGTGTCTCATATAATAAGTTACATTCCTTTAATAACTAAGCTATGTTATTACAGCTAAGTTTATCCCTTAAAAGCCTCGTCTCATTGATTTACCATGGTTAATCAAAAATGTATTAATTTAAATAAAAAATAAATTATCAAGGCTATGCATTTAGTTTCTGCGCAAAGTCTCAAGAGTTCCCTAGAGCCCATTATAAATTAAAATATTTTTGATTTATTTTACAAATAACAAACATATGTTATTGCAGATTTAGAAAATTTAAGGAATAAAGAGTAGACAACTCATGAAAGTATCTGTAATAACACACGCAAGTTATTTTCTGTAATAACACACGCAAGTTATTTTCTGTAATAACCCTATAGAGTTATATCTCTGACTGTTTGAAGAAATTTTCTTTTTGTAAAATGTGGTACAATTTAAGAGACATCCATACACTTAAACACAAGTTATAGTCTGAAAACTAGAAAAATGCTTGTTTTAGACCCTTTTCGGCCCCTAATTCCTGAACGGTTTGGGCAATTACCTCCAAAATGAATCCCAACCTTCTACTTGTGGTATTGAACCTTGTGGTACAATTTTAGAGCAATCAAAATACTTATACACAAGTTATTGTCCTGAAACTAGATAAATGCTTGTTTTAGGCCCCTTTTTGGCCCCTTATTCCTAAACGGTTGGGACCATTTGGTATTGAACCTTTTGCTTAAATTTCATAGAGATCCATACACTTAAACTAAAGTTATTGTCAGGGAACCAAATGTCTTCGGACGAAGACGACGACGTGATAGCAATATACGACCCCAAAATTTTATTGCGGTCGTATAATAACATTGCTCTGGCTTATTGATGTGTTTATGCATATGTGACCATTGCCCCACTATTTCTCAACAAATAAGTACTAGAAATACAAAAAACAATAAATTTTTTTCACATAAACTTGATGCATTAATATAATGCTCTGCAGGGCACAGCTTGATATGACCGCTTAGGTCAAGCCCTTAACAGTTGTGGCAAGTATGAACACAACATTAAAGATTGATACAGCTCTGAATTTGGATTGTGATTAAATGTTCAACACAGCATAGGTTTCTGACATATAATGAATGTGGTCTAAGAACTTAAAATTTGAAATTGGGCATATACCTATTATGATCCAATATCCAAAATCTAAATACATGGTTAGCATAAGCATATCAAAGAACCCCAAGAATTCAATGTTTGACAAAAACAAACAACTTTTCATTTTGGACCCTTTGGACATCAATGTGGACCAATTTGATAACTGGACCCAAAAACCCAAATCTAAATACAAGGTTAGATTCAAATATCATAGAATCCCATATATTTAATATTTGTTGAGATTATTTTGGATCAATTTAAAGCAGGACCTAAATTGGAGATCTAAATACAGGAACCCCAAGAATTCAAGAATTTTAATTCAACCTCATTGAAATTGGTCAAGAAATAAGCAAATTATACAAAGTATAAAAAAAGTGTTGTTTTTTGCCCCCAATTCCTAAATGGTTCAGGCCATAACCCCAAAATCAATCCCAACCTTCCTTTTGGCATATGGAACTTTGTGGTACAATTTCATGGAGATCCATAGACTCATACTCAAGCTATTGTCTGGAATCCAGAAAATCCTTGTTTCTTGGCTCCTAATTCGTAAACGGTTGGGCCATAAATCAATCCCAACCTTCCTTTTGAGGTATTGAACCTTGTAGTACAATTTCATAAACATCCATAAATTTTTCACAAGTTACCGTATTGTTCTGAAACCAAAAAATGCTTGTTTTGGCCCGTTTATGACCCCTTATTTCCTAAACAGTATAATCCCCAAAATCAATCCCAACCTTCCTTTTGTGGTATGGAATAATGTGGTACAATTTCATAGAGATCCATTAACTTATATTCAAGTTATTGTCTTGAAGCCAAATGTCTTCAACAATGACATCAAAGACATTGCTGTACCATTATACAGCCATAAATTTTTGCAGTCGTAACAAAAATACCTAAAGTTATTTTTAACATGAATTCACACTGACATTACTGATTCTCACAAATTTCTTTAAGCAATGAGGTTAAATAATAAACCTTGTTTGTGTTTAAATTTCATTGAAAATAAATTGTCAATGGCAGAAATTTATATCTTTTTTTCAACACAATGTTACATGAAATAGTAGAGTTTAATTTGTAAGTGTATATGGAAACAAACCTGTGGTCTTCTTCTTGAGGTGAACTTATAAAATTGCTTATAGCCATTTGAACAATATCTGCATTTAATATCCCATAAAACACGTCAAAGTTGCAAACAAATCTTCCTAGGAATCTGAAAAATTACTCATGAAAGTAGTCATACATATCAAAGGTAGAACTAGAAAACTGATATGTTGGTTAGCCACCCCCTTTTACAATCTTTGTATGAGGCACAGAAACAAATACTTAATAATAATATAAACTAACCGATAAATTTTTCTTTAAATTTGACACCAAGAATTATTGAAGAATGTGTTTATCATAAATATAAAGTTTTGCTTCAAGGTCTATTTATTTTAGCTGCCATTTGGAAATTGAGGCTGACCAATAATTTTTTAAAAAGAAATATTTTGGAATGCAAATTATACTTATTTATCAACTTTTACTGAAAAATATTTTTCAAAAAATGTAACAACATAATCAGTCAAGGGCATTACTTAAACAAGTAATTTTTTTTAGTTACTTATATAGGTATTATTTGTTTTTGAAAATTATTAAATTACTCAATAGAGTTATTTTATATTTCAATAGAAGCATGGACTAAATGCAGTTTTCATGAGTTTTTGCATCATTTCATTACATAAAATTAAGAATCTATTTAATTTGAGAGAAATATAGAGATAAAAGGTTACTTTAAAAATAATGACAAAAATATTACTTGAATAAGTTATTTTATATATTTTCGAAAGAATTAGTAATGACAATTATTTAAGGAACATATGTAATTATTTTGGGTAACAAATTATAAAAAACTTTAAAGTCTTTAATGAAGTTTCTATCTATTTATATCTGTCTACCTTCAAGATTTTCAAGGAAAATGATATTTTAATAGTCCCATGAGACCAATCTTTGACCAAAAAGCATCGATATGAAAGATAAGTGCATTGGAAAGTCAATTAGTGTTTCAGGAGGATCCATTTTTATATTTAATGGGAAAAATAACCAGATGACTGTGAAAATTTGTTAAAGCTAGTAAAATCTGTATTAATGGACACCTATACAAATAATATTTAGAAAAGTTACTTATACAAGTAATATTTAATATAGCCTTGTTTTCAACATTACTTGTATAGGTAATTTTAAAAGTTACTTGTTTAAGTAATGCCCCTGACTGACAATATAGCTATATATCAGTTTTTGATGAAATCCTGGCATAAAAATATGTTTCTCAAAATCTATTATTTTTCAACAAAAAGTATGTTTTAACCAGTTTTTTGGCACCTGAAATCAATTTCAAATAGCTTTATTTATTTGTACATCATTATTTTGTTGAAATCAAAACACAAAACGATATTTCTCAATTATTTAAAATATTTGACAAAGAACTAAATTTTTACCAAATTCCAACCCAAACGTGCCAATCTTGAACTTATAAAAAATTTTCATTAAAGAATAATGACTCCTATAAGAACTAATCTAATGATTTTGGTACAAATAGAAGTAGGTGATCTAGGCAATTTAATTTTTTTGCCACTATCAGATTTGCTCTATCCATTATGGTTTTAAAGATATATTTTACCATCAATGTTTTATTTTTCATTTATGATGGCCATGTTGGTTGACTGACCATTATATTTTTCATAAATTATAATCTAAACACCATGAGTTGAAGACCCATTGGTGGCCTTGGGCTGCTCTTTAATCGAGTAGTTGTCTCTTTCACACATTCCTCGTTTCCATTGTCAATTATACCATGAGGAATAATGATTATCATGTTATATTTTAATTTGTTAAGTACTTTTTTTTTAATTTTTTTTTGTGTGTAAGTTTAAGACGGAAGACAGACAACAAACAGCAAAAATATGGCAAACCTTCATTGTTTCCAGATTAGCTAATATTGTAGAAAACGTATATGCAAAAATTGAAAAATTAAAATAAAAGTAAAATATGAAAGTGCCAATAATAGATGAAGACTTTTACTTAGTATTCTGAAGACATTAACAAAATAAATAAAACAGAGAATGCAGGCAAACTGATGAGAAATAATAGTTCACATTAAGGCAAGGTGTGGTTATAGATATATCATGATAATTGATACCCTCCATACCTTTGAACTAGACAAAGTGTTGAGAAACATTGTTGAAATGTATATCTGTGATATCGGCAGCGGTTATTCCTACACCTATATTCAATTTGAAGGAACAACTGTGTTGCTACCAGTAATGGTTCTATAATTCTGAGATCCATAGATACGAAATCTAATCTGTCACAGTTTGGACCTGGGAAGTTAGATATACGATTTGCCCAATATCTGCGTATTGCTCCCATGTTGATGTAGATATATAATTCCATAAACACAATATACCATAACTGAAAAAAAAAAAAAATAATTCGGAATGAAAAAATAATCACATACATAAACTGATGCTAGTCATAATACAATTTAATATACAGCAGCAAAAAAAAAAAAAAAAAAAAATTCAAAGTATTAGCCAACAGGAATAGATATCTAGGAAAATATTAATTGGACAGACAGACAAGGTGATTGCGATTTTTAGCCCCCACTCATACAGAGGAGGTAAGATAAAAAAAACAAAACAAAAAAAAAACAAGTATTTAAAGTTGCATTTATAAATTCATTAAGGAAGCACTACAGTCTTGTAATGATGGTTTAGTGTTTTTTTTTTATTACCAATACATTATTATAAAATATTTATCAAACTGAACATTCTGTCCAAGTTTGGTACAAATCCAGGATAATTTAAGTAAGTTATTAAAATTTTAAAAACTTTAACTACAGAGTGAATGTAATGTTAACTGGCAGAAAAACTAAGTCCATTTATAAGTAAAATACGGATAAACAGGATTTATTTTTTTTACAAAATTTACTTCTGGATACTATCTTATGATCATAAACAAGCTTCTGTCCAAGTTTGGTAGAAATCCAGGATAGTTTAAGAAAGTTATTAAAATTTCAAAAACTTTAACCACAGAGTGAATATTTGTGGACACTGCCGCCGCCGACGGAATGTAGGATCGCTATGTTTCGCTTTTGCGACAAAAGTAGCAGGCTCCACAAAAACAAGGAATGAGCTGTCAAATTGACAGCTGTATTTTGAAAGGTTGCTTTCAGGCTTTTTTTGACCTGCCACATTCTATACCTATATTCCAATAGATCAAGGACTATATCTTCTGAACAGCAAAAATGAAAATCGTCAATATCAAACTCGACCCCAATTTTGTCTTCGAACAGCATATTTTAATTCAAGAGCATAGGTTAAACATTTTTAAATAAGAAATTGCACTGAAACAACATAAAGTTCCATTTTTCAATCAATCAAAAACCAGAACTTCTGAATGGCAAAAATGAATATTATCTATATCAAACATGATCCCAATTTTGTAATCAGCAGTGATATTGTTGTCTTTTTTCAAAACTACTTCTACCGTTTTTTATTGGGAAAAATGCATATTTTTTATGGAAATTGGGAAAATTGTATATTTTAATCTGAACACATCAGCGATTTTTTGCTGACCTTTGCTGTCTTTTTTGCACTGTTGTTTTCATGTATATTTTGGTTGTCAGACATTTTCAACCTAAAAGGTACTTTTCGGAGAGGGGAAAAAGAAACAGAAGCAATGATGGTACTTAATGCATTGAAAACCACATGTTTTACAAACACCATGATGATTCTGATCAGAAAACTGGATCTCGAAAGTGCTTTCTAATATCAAAATAATAACATGAATACGATATTTACAATCATTACTACCAATGCCATCACTGTTTTGGGAAAATGTAAAACTTTTTGGGAGGAATTTTAAGCCATTTTTTTTAGTAATTGGGAATTTTCTCTAGGGGAAAAAGCCGAATTTCGGCTGTAATTTGAGGCAAACAATATCACTGAATCAGTAACATCATACTGTGGATTCATTATTATATGTGAGATACCACTTTACGTGGATTTAATTGTTTAAGGGTAAATCACGAAATTAAATGTTCAAAGTATTGCAATGATTCTATAGGCTTTTAAGCAGATTTCAGCAAAACCATGAAATCTAGTATCCATGATTTTCCTCAATCTACGAAAATTTGTATCAACAAAAATAAATGATTTCACAGTATTAAAATTTTAAGAGCATAGGTTGAACAGTTCATAAGTAATTGCACGGAAATAACGTAAAGTTCAATATTTCAATCAATTAAAATCCATAACTCCTGGAAGGCAAAAGTGAAAATCATCAATATTGAACTTGACTTCCATTTTTTCATCAGTAACAACATATTAAAATTTTAAAAGCATTGGTCAAGTTGTTCATAAGTAATTGCACGGAAAGAGCAATTTTCCAATAGATCAAGGACCATAACTCCTGAATGGTAAAAGCGAAAATTGTCAATATTGAACTTAAATTGAGTTACAGATTTAAAAAAATCCATTGTGTTGATAAATTAATGTTTAAAGTCTGTTGTTTGGAGTGAGAACAGTCAGATTGTAGTTCTACCTTAAGTTGAAAAGCATTCTGACAGTTTTATATATGCAATACAATTTCCACTTATCACCCATAGGTAACATTGGATTGGTTTACATAAATTTATATTAAGACAAGTATTCCATTGTAAGGAATTCGAATTGGGAAAGACCTAATGTACTTTGTATCCCATGTTTTCATTAATCATGACAGAACAACTGTTAGCCCAGGCATTCTCTGAAAAAGGACAGTTTTTTCTCTTAGAAAAATGATATTTTCAAGCAATTTTCTATGTCCCAAAATTGTAAATATCATTTTAAAGAGTGTTAACTTAGCAGTTAAGAATTTAAAAGTTTATGAAGAATTCCAAATCTCTTAATACTGGTATTTATTTTGGCAGATGCTGAACTGTAAATCATTTAAGGTTAATATTTATATGTATGTTTATCATTATCAATTAAATTTTAGAAAGAGTCTGTATTTATTAAACATTTCAAACAGTCCTTTGCTGTTTGACAGTTCTTTTAAAAGAAGAAATGCATGAAAACTTACTGAATTGAATATTTCATCAGATGATGAAACTAAATTAGCTGATAGAGGTGGGTGAACCAATACCATTACCAGTATCATCATAAGTACTGAGTCTATGGCGCAGGTGTTATATAAGTCATCACCATCACCTGCTAACATGACAGGAATTTCTGTAAAAGAAAAACAATTGACTAATGTGACTAAAAATTATTTTTTTTTTACAATAAAATAAAATTTATATATCAAAATTTGCTTGTAACATAACTCATCAAGATTCAAAAATTAAATTGATGAACCCTGTCTTACTCCTCTGATTACCCAGGGGAATAATCAGCTGAAGTAATTTATTACAAAATATATTTTCTTAATTGATTTTTTTATAAACATACTATACAACCAACTTGTATCATTTTAAAAAAACAACATAATGGAGACATAAATGCACATTATCGGTGTTCCCACTGTCTATATCACTCTGCTCAGCTCTTCATAAAATTGCTTATCTAAGCTTTGTGACGTCAAATACATTAACCAGGCCTTAATACGTTGATAAATTTTACCAAAACTTATCAAATCATCTTCCTGTTTGCTGGTGAAACAAAAAAAATTGTTTCTTTCATGCAAAATACACAAATACAATCTGATAAATCGATTAACAGATTTTCATCATATTAATGTTGTAAAATGTCAGCTGCATGACACAATATGATTCTGAACTCGTTCATAATGTGATCACTCGACAAAAAGCTTCATATTGTGACTTGCACTTGATATTTTATAATATAAATATGCAGACAACCTGATAATCCATACTTATAAGCCCAAATAGTGTGTCACAAACTCTTTATAAATTTCAATTTTTGGTTATAGTATTGTGGATTCATTATTATTCGTGGAATACCAATCTAAACACTTATTAAAGTGTGCAATGAATTACAAATTTTTTTAAATGGTTCTTATAGAATTGAGAATGGAAATGGGGAATGTTTCAAAGAGAAAACTCCTCGACCAAAGAGCAGAAAACATCCCAAGGCAACCAATGGGTCTTAAATGCAGCGTGAAAATCACAGATGCAGTTTGCAGACTTTGGCAAAACCATAAAATCAAATATCCACGAAAATACAAGTTGTCCTCAATCAACAAAGATTATACCCTCGAAAATAAATGAATCCACAGTATCTGAACAAATTAGGAAATTTTATCGACAACATATAGATGCATCAAATATTGCAATATAAATAAGAGAACAGAGTTCCAATGTCCCCCGTGTTGCACATATTTCATCTATCCAAGGTACAAGGGCAATAACTAAAAAAAGCATTTTTTTGTTGTTTCTAAAAATTTTTTTTATTAATATCTTAGAGAAATGAAGGCTTCAGTGCAAATGCAATGTGATTTCCATTATAATTAATATTTCCAAGGGGCATAACTTGTTAAAAATATTTGATCAGAAATTATTTTCGAAAGTGTCAAAGACATTGCTGATATAAACCTATGATACAAGTTTCATAAAATTCTGGCAATAATTGTACACATGAGAACGCTGACAATGCAATTTTCCATATAATCAATATTTCAAAGTGCCTAACTCTTTTGAAAATAATTGATCAGCACTGATTTTTGAACTCTTCAAAGACATTGATGATATAAACCTATAATATAAATATCATTAAAATCTGGCGAGAATTGTACACATTAGAGGGCTCATAAGGCAATTTTCCATATAATCAATATTTCCAAGGGGCATAACTCTTTTAGAAATTATTGAACGTCACTGATTTTCGAATTTGTCAAAGACATTGCTAATATAAATCTATGATTAAAGTTTCATAAAATTCTGGCAAGAATTGTACACATAATTGAAAATAATTGATCAGCACTGATTTTTGAACTCTTCAAAGACTTTGATGATATAAACCTATAATATAGATATCATACAAATCTGGCAAGAATTGTACACATTAGAGCGCTAACAATGCAATTTCCATATATTTAATGTTTCCAAGGGACATAACTCTTTTAAAAATAATTGATTGGCACTGATTTTTCGAACTCATCAAAGACATTGCTGATAAAAACCTACGATATAACAATGTATAAGTTTCATAAGAATCTGGCAATATAAATGAGAAGATGTGGTATGAGTGCCAATGAGACAACTCTCCATCCAAGTCACAATGTTAACAAATATAGGTCAAAGTACGGCCTTAAACATGGAGCCTTGGCTCACACCAAACAGCAAGCTATAAAGGGCCGCAAAATGACTAGTGTAAACGATTCAAACAGGAAAACCAACTCTCCAATCTATATAAAAAACTTGAAACGAGAAACACTTATGAACCACACCAACAAACGACAACCACGGAACAACAGGCTCCTGACTTAGGATAGGTGCATAAAATGCAGCTGGTTTAAATGTTTTAACAGGCACTAACCTTCACCCTATCCTGAGACAGTAGTGTAACATTACAACATAAAAAGACACACTATAAAATATCAAAAGAATTGAACACAAGAGAGCGCTAACAATGCAATTTTCCATAGAATTAATGTTTCCAAGGGGCATAACTTTTAAAAAAAAATTAAGCGGCACTGATTTTAGAACTTGTCCAAGACATTGCTAATATAAACCTATGATATAAGTGTCATAAAAATCTGGCAAGAATTGTACAAATGAGATCGCTAACAATGCAATTTTCCATATTATTAATGTATCCAAGGGGCATAACTCTTTTAAATATAATTGATCGGCACTGATTTTAGAACTTGTCCAACACATTGTTAATATTAAACCTATGATATAAGTGTCATAAAAATCTGGCAAGAATTGTACAAATGAGAGCGTTAACGATGCAATTTTCCATATAATTAATGTTTTGAAGGGCCATAACTCTTTAAAAAAAATCATCGGCACTGATTTTTGAACTTGTCCAAGCCATTGCTGGTATAAACCTATGATAAAGGTATTATAAAAATCTGGCAAGAATTGTTCACTTGAGAGCGCTAACAAGACAGGATTGATGGACAGACGCCGGGTGTTTCTTAATTTCCCCCGCAACTCGTTGCGCGGGGGATAGTAAAGAGCTGTGCCATGAGCACATATATCAGTCAGCCTTTTAGCTCATCTTTAAGCTTTGTTTTGGACGATTTTTGAACAAATTAAAACCTATAACCATCCAAAGTATGAAAAATTGACAGTTTTGAGGGTATAATCTTTGTGGATTGAGGACAACTTGTATTTTTGTGGATATTTGATTTTATGGTTTGGAAAACTTTGACTCACCGGAAAATCGAGTCAACCGATTTGGAGACAAAAAAGAGTTAACTGTATATAGAAACAATTGTTGAAACTGCCACCACCGGAAAAGCAACAGCTTTGTCTCGCCTTCTGCGACTATAGTCGCAGGCTAGACAAAAGTGAGAAAACATCTTTATTCAGGGGGAATAACTCCTTAAAGTCAAGTTACAGTAAATGGGTTATTTCACAGATTTTGGCAAAATTTGCATACAACTTTGGCACGTTAGACTATAAATGAAAATCGAAAAAAAAAAATGCATTTATCTCTTTTATTATCTGAAATGTTACTGATTCAATTCTTTCAAAACAGGTGAACATATGCATGTAAAAAAATCAACAAATAAAATGCTTTGCTGAGCGCAGCTTGATACGACCGCAGATGTCGATCCGTGAACAGTTGGGGCAAGTTTGGACACAATATTCAAGCTTGATACTGTCTGAATTTGGATTGTGATCAAATTTTTGACATAATATAGGTTTCTGACACAAAATAAATGTGGTCAAATATCTTAAAAATCTATTGCGCAATACTTTCAATTGAAGATTTCTTCTTTAAACTTTTCAAAAATTTTGAAGAAAAAATTACCCCCAACCTCAATCCCAGCCTTTCCTTTGAGGTATGGAACCTTGTAGTACAATTTTAGAGAGATCTATACACTTAAACACACGTTATTGTCTGGAAACTAGAAAAATGCTTGTTTTTGGCCCCTTTTTTGCCCCTAAAAATTCCTGCATGTTTGGGGCAATTACCCCCAAACTCAATCCCAGCCTTCCCTTTGTGATATGGAACCTTTTGGTACAATTTCAGTGAGATCCATACACTTACACACAAGTTATTGTCCTGAAACTACAAAAATGCTTGTTTTTGGCCCCTAATTCCTAAACTGTTGGTACCATAACCCCCAAAATTAATCCCAACCTTCCTTTTGTGGTATTGAACCTTCTTGTATCATTTCATAGAGATCCATTCACTTAAACTAAAGTTATTGTCTGGAAACCAAATGTGTCTTCGGACAAGGCAGACGACGACGACAACATCATAGCATTATATGAACCCAAAAAATTTTTTGTGGTCGTATAAAAACATTCTTAAATTTTTCTGAAAATCATCATATCATTCTACAATTTCAAATCCATAGATTTTTCTTAAAAAAGTATATGTTGTTGATTTAAAAATTTCTGTTTTAATGATGTAAAATAGTAATTTCTGTTTTAATGATGTAAAATAGTAATATGGTCACTGATTACATTTTTTCGGTATACATCAATCAAAGTGGTGTTCTAGGTGAAAAAATACCACAAAACTTTAAAATAAGGGTAAAGTAATCATGTTGTATACTGTAAAAAGCAACATCTTTGTATTGCCTTCCGCGAATATAGTGGCAGGCTAGACAGCTAGAGGCTCTAAAGAGCCTGTGTCGCTCACCTTGGTCTATGTGCATATTCAACAAAGGATACACTCCAACATTGTACACAAGAATAGAATTCATGACAAAAATCTCTTGTTTTTTTATTTTGTACTACTGATCATTAAGTCTGTTAAGTTTCTCTTTATCTTCTTGAATTTTTTCTCAAAACGTAAAAGAGGGTAAAAAAATACTCATTTAAAGGCAATCACATCCTAAAAAAATAGTGACAGTCTACTAACTATATCAGCAAAATTTGACTTGTTAGTAGATCTTGCCTTGCAGATTATTTTTGTGATTTAAAGTGTTTATTTATCTATCATAATTTTTATCATAAAAGGCAATACACTAGAAAAATGTTAAAAAACGTCATTAAAGGGCAATAACTCCAATAAGGAGTTGTAGGACGATTTTCTCCTTATTGTTTTAATTGTAGATCTTGTCTTGTTGATCATTTTTGTTTGTT